CTACTTCTGTTCCTGCATGTCTAGAAACGGAACATGGCTTCTTGAAGTGTCAAATAAAGGAACAAGATAGGGACAAGGGAAGCAGTTCATGTGGCGATTTCCATAGAAAAAATAAAGCTTCCAAAGCCTTACATTGCTACTGATACGACATACTAGCTGTCGTTACTATTAATTCGGTGCGTAGTAACCAATCTTGGCGTACTGGCTGAAGAGATCTGAAGAGCACAAGTATAAGAAAAAAACCATATAAATCCTGCAGCTGCGGTGCCTGTAGCTTCTGCGTGCGTGCTGTTCATGCTGTGTCACTAGACTTGCTGTCGCAGAAGCATCGGTATTCTGCTGATTCAAGTTGCTTTCTTTTGCTATGTGAATGGAAACCAGATATGTAAGATATGCTTTCTACCCTGTACCAAGTTGCTGTGCAGACAAGTGGGGCTCGTGCGAGGGGTTGCACATAATATGTATTTTGTAACCGCAACAGGGAAACCTCATGTAAAGCATCCAAACAAGCTAAGCTAAAAGTCTGCAAGGCAAACCGAAGAATCGAAACCACCAAAAAGCCCTAAAATCTGCGCTTCATGGGCTTTGGTGGTAATGTGTTTTTTTCGGGTGGCTTGGTTTGGGGCTTGATTTGTTGGGGTTGTCGCTAGTGATGGGACTTGCACGAGGTCGAGCCGAATGCCATCGTCTTTCACCACTTCTGAACCCTACGCAACCCGACCAAACAGTCTCACTCGAAGAACACTCTGCAGTTGTAACATCATACAAACTCTTGTTCCGTCTATCCGTGCAACGACACCGGGTAGCCGTTGCAGCATGTTCAGGTGGTTAGAAATGTTAGAATTCAGGTGGCTTAGTGCTCGCAACGAGTATCTTGTTAGCTGTCAGTTAGCAGACTACGTTCAAGGTATGTCAACACTGTGTTGAAATCCGAACTACAATTAAAATGTGACCTAATTGGCCAGTTGATGGCCTCAGCGACCCCGAGCATCGTTGTCTTTGTTTGGCACGGCTACGAGGCCCTCTCGGCCCTCGATGTCTCGTGGCGCTACATCTAGAATGCTGCAGACGGAAAGGAAGACTTTTCAACCCTGCTCAAATGCCGATTTCTCTTGGACCGAGGCCGAGTGCCAGAAGCTTTCGCAACGCCTGATAACGCGCTCATGTGGATGTCGGGATGCTGCACTATGTTGGACCGCAGATGGTGCGCGGACCTTGCCTTTCTGACGTGCCCTGAGATGTGCCCTGAGATGCCGACCTTCACTTGCCTGCCGACTTCGTCCGGCACTCCCTGGCCTTGCAAGATCCGCGGAATGCACGGACCACTGCCCTTCCTTACCTCTCCCACTGCAGGTGGGAGAGTTTGTGCCAGTGCCAAAGGCCCCAGGCTTGGGTATATAGATACCTGTAGCAGCTGCCCCAAAAGGAGGACAAAACATGCTTGCGTTTTTGAGTCTTCACCCTTTGGGGGGATCGGTATGAAATGGAATTGGATCAGAAGTCTGAGCCGAGTCATCTCACAACCTCCCGTTGCGTTTCCATTGCTCTTTCCAGCACGTGGCGACCGTACCAAATATGGCTCGCAAGGCGGTCGCATTGGTCATCAGCAACCATCTGTTCGCATGAAGAACTGTATAGGACGCAAGAGGACCCTATGTGGCATCGTATCAGAGCAGCAGCAACAGTAGCTGAAAGTGGGAATAACCCAGTAGCTTTCCCCGGCCCCGTCTACAGCAGCGTCACCTCGCGAACGCTCGGCAGAGCCTTCCCCAGCCCGTCCAAGGCTGCAGCAAACGCTCGGCGCCCACAACCTTCCCCAGCCCTGTTCGCGGCAGCATCTTCCCGCGAACGCTCGGCGCCGCTAGAAGGGCTGCGGCCGTTGTTTCGGGAGCAGAAAAACTGAAGAAGAAACCAATCCCGGAGGCAGCGTCCACAGCCTTCCCCGCCCCGCCCCGGCGCTGTCCACGGCACCCAGCCCTGTCAATATGGTCCTGTGGACGCTTCCTCTTTGCCAAAATCTTTCCCGTCCACGGAAACGTTCGGAAGTGAAAACTGCCCCGCGGGAAGGAAAGACTAGACAAGAACCCAACCGCCGAGGTGTTTACGAAAAAAACCTCGAACTCTCAAACAAAAACTAAAACAATCCAACCACTGAAGTTTAAAGAAAAACTCAACAATGCCCAAACACATATCACCAATGAGCAAACTCCAAGACATGTTCTGATGAAACCCGCACGAGAAACTGAAATCTACACGACACTCAACAGACAATCACCCAAAACAGAGAAGCGAAAATAACAGAAAAACAACTACATATACATGTATGTAGACATACTCTAACTACTTCGTTTGTGCGCCTTGCGCGGCTACCGGCCGACAAGCGCTTGAAGAAGTGAAGACAAGGCATTTGCACTGTAATTTACATGATATTGGGGCCCGACATAACCCCCACCGCAAACGTGTTGATTTTGAAATCTACAACCTGCAACAGGCACAGCTTGAATGCTCTCCGGTAAGCGGGCAGGCAGCAACTCCGTGCTTTGAATTTGGGTGCCGGACAGTTTTCCTATGTACTTGCAAATGCCGTGCACGGGGGACACGTTTCTTTTGAACACTTTACCAGACATCCCTGGCAAGTCACAGCAAAGACCTGCTTGATCTCATCCGGTGGAAAGCTGGCAAAGCATAACCAAGACGACGGCAGCAGGTTCCCTCGCACTCGAAGGCTTCGTTGTATTTGGCCCTACTGCAAGGGTCGCTGCCTGGCCCTAGCAGCTTAGCAGGTGCCACAGAACATCATTATCCCCCGCGCCAACCCCCAACTTCACGGAATCTTGAAACATCTCGAAACGTTCCCAAAACCACCCGAACATATGTTTTACGCTGGGGCATCAGGTCTCCAAAGACCCCGAGTGCCTGTAGGGCTAGGTTTTCTCATTGTGATGAAACTCCATGCCTAGGCCGCCTAGGCCTGTGCCTAATAAGGCCCACAGTCCAGCATTCGCGGCAGCAGTATAGCCACCGAAACATACCGAAACAAGAAACGTGGCGTCCTGCGTGTTGTTTCTTTTGGAATTCCTGCTGCGTTTCTTTTTCTGCGGCCCCCAAAACCCAGCCGAAATGTACGTAGATGCAGGGGAGGCCTCAAACCCAGTAAAAGAACAAGAAATGTCTTGCGTTGGTGGGTTTCCAGCGTAAGGCCTTTTCTTGATTATGGTGCGCCTCCATGCGTGAATCCTAGTAGTGTAACCATGTGGCCTGCCCTTTCCAGCCACTTCAGTGTTACCATGATGTGGCTAAGTGCGTCTGCAGTTGTATTGTGCGAGTATAAGATGGTATACATGTTTTGGTGGTGTCTCTACAGCCTAATGAGCCTAATGGCTAAGCCTAGGGTGCTCTACCTGACCGTACATGGGTACGAGCCCCGGCCAAGAAATGAATAAGAAATGCATGGCACCCCACAGTCCGAGGGCTAGGGTACCTCCTCGATGCTGGGCTGCAGCGCATCTCACCCAGCAGATGCACTGCATTGAACAGATACACGCCCGCCGCCAACCTTCCCCTCGGTCAGATTTCGCGGATGATTGAGAAACCAAGTGGAATGAGCGGTGGAATCACCTTGGAATGATTCTGAGCGTTTCTTGAATGATGTCGAGTCTGAATTTCAATCAAATGCAACAGAATTACATGACATGGAATCAATGGAAACAACTCATGTTGGAAAAGAGCTTTGGTTGAGCCTGTCAGGAATCGGAGGTCTTGCCCTGATGGCAGGAGAATCCGCCCTGCCCACCTTGCAACGATCAAGGCATGCTGACAGAGCTTGATTTCAACATATGGTCAGCGGCCAGTGGCCACGGGTGGAATCAAGTCTCCAGCAGAGCTTGGACCGCCGGGACCCGCAAGCATCTTACCTCCCGAACCTCGAAACTTTACCAGGTCTGCGAAGCACTGCCGAACTGCGATGCAACAGGCCGTTGCAGACCCCACCTGGGCTCGGATCACGGCGTGGTCCTCGGCTTTGAAGGGAAGGCTGTGATCTGCAACGCGCTACTGAGCACGTCCACATTCTCTACATATGCGCGCCACACTAAGATGGGTTCTTCTGGCAGCAGGATAAAGAATCGCAAAGCCAGGGGCCCTGCTGGCTGGGCTCGGCTGCCTTCCCAAAGCTCTCTCGGCTGCCACCCTCAGGTCCTCCAACAAGCACGGTTTGCTTGTGCTTCGCAGAGCTTCTGTTGGGCCTCCTCTTCCTGCTCCAAGCGCCGCAGCCGAGCCTCTCCGGGACATTTGAGCTCATCTTGCAGCCAGGGGGAGCTTGCCCGGGGCTTGCCAAGATGACTGTTGCTTCATTCGCCATCCTCCCTCCTCAAACTGTCTGCTACAGACTAGTCAGCCCCTCTGCACCCCCCTGATGAGCTTATCTCAACTCTGCAGCTGGCGCTGGCAAAGCCACATTCCGCATAAACCCTGAGTCCAAATCCCAGACTGAACTCCTAGCCACGACCCGCACCCTTCCCTTTTTGCATCCACGAGAAAGCGCAGATCCCGATTCAAGCAATCGACCAAGCAGCAGCGCATGCGTCGTCCCTACATGTACTGGACCGCTTACAACCCTGCAAGTCAGAGAGGTTAATGCAACGGCATGAAAAACCTTTTATTGATCTAAGTCCCCACAACTGTCACTGCTGGACCGGTGAGCTCACATGCCGGGATCCCAGCCAACTGAGGAGCACGAAGGTTAACTCTCAATCCACAACATCCCGTAGTTGATACTTTGGGAAGTTCTAAAAGAAGGTGCGGTCTCAGACGAAAGCACTTATATTGAATTGCACAAGAATATGTTTCCCATTCCGAACCTCGCTCTTGCACAGAACTACCAGACCTAATTTCAGACCTTTGCACATGCGACTGTTTACATTTTTGGTCTTTCGGACTCACACTGCTGCACGACATACTTCTTCTGCTGCCTGACTTGAGCTGGTGGCGAAGATCTTAACTTACGACGGTTGAACGTGTCCTTCCGTAAGCTGGATGACATCAAAGGCCTGTTCTAGGCGTCTTCGTCGATCATCCTTCTCCTCACAGGCAGATGGCAGTCGCAGTTCCATAAAAGCTGCCCAACTTGCGCCGAGTCAAGGTCTTGCCTGGTAGAGACGAATGTGCACAGGCGCCTGACATTCAACAAGCCAAGCACGAACTTGAGCAGAATGATCATACACCAAGTGCAGGCACTGGGCACCTCCCGCTCGAGCTTTGGCACATGCTTCCCACAACTTGGAACTCGCAACGATGCCGAAACCTGACTGCATATGTGGATGTTTCGAGGCGGCTTGCAATGGTCCTCCACAGATTCGAAAGGAGGACCTCGTGTTCAGCTGCAGCTCCTGAGATGCAAACCATCTCTCACCTGTGCCATTTTGGCTACTATGGTGGAAGTTCCATTCAGGAGAGCACTGACAGGGTGTCTTCTTGGAGCATCCGGCCTCAGTAGCATTGGATTCGTTAGACGATTTAGACATTGGCAGGAAGGGACCGAGGTTTCCACGTGACGGAGCGCTGCTGCCTGGAAGTTGTCCTCCCGTGCCTCGGCGCAGAACTGCGAAAGCGTCATGGAAACATGCACATCCCTGGCAAACGACCCGCTGCACGTGTCTGAGGCTCCACAGCCCAGAGCTTCTGGAAGAGCTGGGACCTGCAGACAGTGCTGGTGCGTCACACGAGAGGGGTGTCATAAACGGTAAACCTTCAGTCAAAATTGTCCCTAGCTTCACCAAGCAAAAGCAACCGTCTTATCGGCTCTGCGAGGACACTGTTTTAGAGTCGGAACCTGGATACATCCCCGACTCCACACACATGGAATACGTTTGCCAGGAGGCCAGCAGCACACACAGTCGATTTCCACCGGCACGTAACAAACATTGAGAGAGATATCTGTTGCTCGTAAATCTGCATTAGTCGAGCATGTGTGGGTGAACGTTAAGAGTCGTCTCTCTCATGCGGACATTTGATTTTAACGACTACTATGCAAATGCACATTGAGGAACCACACGATCAAAACATCCTCCACAGCTGTCACGCACTACAGCCAACCGACGACGCATCCACCGAACCAATCCGAACAGATGAAAAAAAGACCTTGACTCCCCAATGTAAGTTCGAAGGGAAGTGGTCGATTTCCTGACAACCTTTGAGGCGCAAAGTGGGCGAATCTGTGCTGACATCACCTCAGTATCACTCTCGGATGTATCCTTTGCAAGTTGCTGTTCATTAACTAGTAGGCAGCCATGGCGATCTTCAAAGCAGGAGTGCTGCGACTGCTGCACGAAGAAACTTCAGCGCCGGCATTCTGGCAGACGAACTTTGAATTTTGAGAGCTTCGTGGAGCCGCCTGAAAACCAAGCAGAGTGCAGAAGGCAAACCCCGCCTGTCTTCTCCTGCCCTGCACTGGCCTCAGAGCGAGCGGACATGCTATGACCTGTCCGTCGCAACAGGGCACCAGTTCTAAATCGGTTCTGGGCGAACTCAGGAGCAGATGGAGAGTGCTGCAAGGTACGTCTCGCCGCCGCCTGTCATCTTCAAACAGCGTTGTTGGTGATGGTGATGATGATCCTCATCATCACCATCATGGCAACAACAACACTAACACAGACAGTTGTATTCGTCGGCCCTCTTTACTTGCTTATTTGTGGTCGGGCCGAGGCGGACGACACGAAGTGCTTAATTACTACAGCGGCAGCAACAGCAACAACAACAGCAACAGCAACAGCAACAGCAACAGCAACAACAACAACAGCACGACGACGACGACAACGACAACCACAGCAGCAGCCAGCAGCAGCAGCAGCAGCGGCGGCGGCGGCGGCGGCGGCGGCAGCAGCAGCAGCAGCAGCAAGAAGAAGAAGAAGGATAACAATATCGCTGGCAATAACATTATGCACAATGATTGCAACAAGAAAAAAAGATAAGAATGATATATTGATAAGCTTAAACTACCAGCAATACCAGAAAGAAAAAATGGCGATGTAATGCTTGTAGTCCTAGTCATCACTAGAAGCAGCATCAGCAGCAGCAGCGGCAACAATTTTACGAAGTGCAATCATTTTATGCATTTAGTATTAGTAATAGCACAATTATTAGCCATGAGTCATAGCTGCAATGATAATAACATAAATCTAATTAAAACGTTAGAGTAATGGTAGCACGAAAGCTACGAAAAGAATTACAATAATCATAACAATACTGTGGAATCTGCCAGCCGTTGTCAGGTTTGCGCAAGTATCAAACTTGCAGAAACCCTCTGAACTGACAGGTTTCAAATGGTCGTCGAACCACATCCTTAGAACCCGAAATATATGTACACGATCCCGACACCTTCGGCCCTCGGCGGAGGCTGCGACAGTCTTACCGCACTACTTGGCGGTAAGGAGGTCCTCTCTCTTGTGTCTCCGAGGTTTTAAAGCATGGACCTTTGCTGCAGACTGCACTCGCGTGCATTAGAATGATGACATTCGGCAGAGCCCTAACACAGCCCAATGCCAAGATGCCCAAGAACCAAAATGTGCAGGTGACTGTGGCGGGATCACGGTTATCTGCAGGCGGAACGAGTCTCTCAAAAAACTGCCGCGAGAGCATGATTTTCGGGTGGGGGGAAACGAACAAGTCTGGGGCAGGAAGAGGCACCCACAAAACACACGGCACCGTGACACCGTCGAATTTCGCCAAGTTCCGAAACCTACAAGAATGCCAGGATTCAAAGACTAAACAGAACAACCCAAAAAGCCTCATTATGTGGCCCTGCTAGGACCGGCGACGAGGAGCGTGGCGGGAGACGATATCCAGCCCCGAATATGCCCGGCACTCTGGCAGGAGTGCGATTAAAATTACGGCGAGTTGGATAAACATGACCACCCATGTTACGGGGTCTAGAGCTTCCGACGTTAAGCAGTTAAAATCTGAGCTGGAACGACCACCTCGCAAGTTTTAGACCAGCGCAGCACACGCAGCCTCACTACGTTTTGCTTGCTCTTGCTGGCAAGCTTAATTCTGCGCAGAGGCAGCAAACATGCAGGCCCCGAGACCTCAGGTCGCTCCATGTCGTGGAACTCAAGGCTTTCTGCCATTATTGGCATCCTGCGCTGTAGAAGTCTTCGAGAAAAGCAGTCCTCGATGTTGCTAGACAGACCTGCGCAGAGACACACACTATCTAGCCTTGGCGTCCATTTGCATACCGAAGTCGGGGCCAGGACAAGTTTGTAAGTCGTTAAGTAGCAGATGTTTGACGACCCGTGGGGTTCTGGGGTGGAAGCTTGTACTTCCGGGACCTCCGTTTTACATTTGCAATGCCACAGATGTGTTGATGCGTTTCCCCATTAATCAAGCGCAGAAAAAACAGAGCTCTAGGGTAGGCCTCACTTCTTGCGCCAGCGCTTCCTTGAAGGTATGTCGCATAGCTGGCATCGTTCTGCAGGCTGACCATGATGCCAGATTTCATCCACTTCTGACAGACAGACTCCTTATCCAGAAGTCGCTGCATTACGACAACCGCCGTCGCCTGATCCCAGTATCTCAAGCCTGACCATGTTTGGTTTTGTGACGGCGCCCAGTATATCACCATGTCACTCAGCAACTTGTTGCTGCAATTCTGTGGTACGAACATGTTTGGGTCACTTGGCTCGACCTGCAGATGTTCGAATGCGCTGTCGGGCACTAGAACAGTCTCCAGACCGAATGCCCATACCTGTGCTGCAGAAATAGCATCCAGAAAGATGTTCCAAGAAGCATTCTTTGGCTTCTTGTCGGTGCTCCAAGGAAAGCCAGTGGCCAAACCAGCCCCGGACGTCCCGGAACCCCGCAGTGCAGCACCTGTCAGGGCTGCCATCTTTGCCACTGCGCCCGACTGGCCCTACAAACACAATGTCTATCAGATGTCTGGTTTCGCCCCGCTCCTGAATGCTCTACAGCATGACCTCCTTGCACTTTGCCGCCTTGCACATACAAGCATTTCACCTTTGATCGAAACAGTTCGGCGCCCCCGCTTCTGTGCAACGCGGCTGCAAGGTTCGTGTATGGACCCAACTCTAAAACGTTCACGCTGTTGTTCGGCGCGCGGTCCAAGATCTGAAGAATCAATTGCGGTGCAGTCTGCCAGGCTGCCGGCTTTGGACTGGGCTCCGTGGCGATCCATCTCTTGAGATAGTGATTAGATGCTTCTGTCCAGATCTGTGGAGGCATTCCGTTTGGATAATCCAAGTTCAAAAGCGTTGAACCCAAATAGCCTTCTTGAAATGCTACAGGAATGTCGCTGCGATTCAGCTTGTGGAGCAACCGCAAGGCATTGTCCACTCCAGCCGACCTTAGGTCTTGGCAGACCATGCTCCCTCTGTTGCGTGAAACTCTTCTGGGCCCGAGACTGCCGAAATGCAGGGCTTAAACCCTCGACATCATGCAAACCCTCGATCGATCAGGTCCGGAAGCTTTCATGCTAAGGAACCTGAACACGCTCCATTGTCGGAGTCGAAGGACTGAACTTTCAACACTGGCAAGCACGAAGACGCACGAAGGGTGCAAGACTGCGAAAAAAGGACCTTGACCTGGAAAATCGTTTTGCCTAGTATGGGCAACGGCGGAGGTCGCCAGGCGTGTCGGAATCCCTGCTGTCCCCAACTGTCCCTGTGCCAGAGTGGGCGGTGACAGCCTTTCTATGCAGCGTCTGCCCGAATGACAACCAGAGTTTGGCCGCGGCATCTCCGATTTTGATCAGCGCTCACTGGCTCGCTCAGTCACTGGCTGCTCTTGCAGCGCCCGTCCATTCCTCTTGCACCTCCACATCAACCCAGCACCTTCCCCAGCGCGTCGCTCTGGTTTACTCCCTCGCTCACTCTCACTCGTTACTACATCACGCTGCAGGAAGCCAGGACCATTGAGAGTCTGAGAAAATGATGAGACCAGCCCCGCAAAGATGGTCCGACAAAAAGACTTAACTGTCACACAACAGATCTCAACCGAAAGCATCGAAGCCCTGATATGGGCTGATGAAGCCGGTTACGCATGCACGGCCAGATTAATCAAAACAGATCAAGACAGCCGTCAGTATTGACAGCAGTGACAGCAGCACAGGAAATTTGCAGTCCAAGTCTCTGTGCAGAAAAGCCGTTGGCACTGACGGTAATACCTTTGATGTCCGCGCCACTTCGGATCAAATAGACAAGAGCCGCCATGTCGTCTTGATTCATGTCTGTGTCAATGATGAGAGGGGCGCTCCAGGCGATCCTGCCCCTGGCCAGCAAAAGAATCCATGCCGCCGCCCAAGCCCTTCGGCTAGAGGCGACCATGGCAAACAGGACACGAAAAAGGTCGGGACTCTTCTCAAGCCAGGCGATAGTGGTCACAGTCATACTGGCTCAAGTCGGCGACAGCATAACAAAACTCACAGCCTGTGCCCCCTGTGACGTGTTGTTCTCGGGCAAGTTCCAACTGCTCGACGCTGGCAACCTCAACGTGCAAATTTGCAGTAATGTCCCTCAACGGCCTCTACTCTGTATCACTGGCAGCCATAGTGAAGATCCGTACCAGCGGTAAAGTCCATGGCAGCTATAGTCGTGGTGACTCATACAGTATACCGGTTGCAGAGAAGACTCGAAGTAAGGGTCGCGTTCAAACTCAGGATACAGCCATAGCAGGATGAAATTAGCCGCAAGTGGGGGTAAGGGTCCGGCCCCGCAGCGTCAGACCCGCAGGATACCGATTGCGTGAAGCAGCATGTATTGAAACGACGGGTAAACCCGTCTCCATCCATCAGCACAAATGGTTGCGCGCTGCTCGTTCTGAGTCCCGCCCTTCCCCCCAACCTGCCTCCCACACATGCCGCACATGTACACACGGCTTCGCAGGGTTTGGTGAGGTGTCTTACGGTCAGCGATCAGCATGTGGCCTGGCCTAACCCAAAGCTTAATGGCTTAATGGCTGCGAAGCCTGGAAACATCTTGCTGAGTCGCATCTCAGTGAAATTGCTATGGTCCTGGCTTTCCCACCCCACAAGCACAGGACACGAAATATGTCATCACCGGCTCGACAAGATGACTACTGCAAACAATCACAGCCAATGAATCGACAAGAAGGCTTGTGGAGGTTAGCCTTCAGTTCTGCAACAGCATCAGCCACTTTCTGACAGCTAATCAACACGAACGTTCCTGACAAATATTTCTGCCACCTACGCAACAGTGTCTCGTTTTCTCGCGCTGGCACGAGCACACACACACACAAACACAAATACTCGTGCAATCCTCCCTCTGACTTGTCTTTGTTGACTCGTAAAGCTACTTGCAGAAGTAAAGATCTTAAGCCACATAGGCAGTTAAGGGATTTTCGTCGACATGCCAGGTTTGCGGCTTTGCCTGGAAGCCATGTGGAATCAAAAGACACTCCGGAAAAGATCACACCTTGCAAGGGGTGAGGAGTCCAGCTGCCACGATGGACCCAGGAACTCCTCATGAGGGCCAAAAGCTGTCACGACGACCCAGGTGCACCCTCCCCCCCTTCATTCGCAGGCACGTTTTCGCGCCTTGTCACTGGCAGTCTTCGTTGGCTGAGGTGCCAGTGACGGGCCCTCAGCCCCCTGTTTTTTAGTGCATCCCTTCGTAACAGGGTTCCCCACACAAGAAACCACTTGGGCATAGTGGCACCTTGCACAAAAGAGGTGAAGGTTAGCCACACTGGACAAAAAGAAAAAAATCAAAAGGCTCTGCAGGAGGGCTGGCAGTTGGCTGTGAAGCCTTACGTAAAGCATAAGAGAAAAGTAACAGAGATGCATCTGCAGGCGGCCCTTGGAGCTTGAAAAAAGCCTTCCGGCTGCGAGAAAGAGACATGTGACTCTGAAACGACAGATGTGGAAAAAGGAAAAGGGAAAAACAAAAACGGCCCGTTAGAGGACTGCGCTTGCAGTTCGCAGGTCTTACAGAATGCCGCAGCCCTGCAGCGCATGTCCTACTAATATGGCCAAGCATCTGCAATTCGCAGGTCTTACTGCACTGCCACAGCCCTGCAGTGCTTGCCGACTGACAGCTGGGGAAACAGCCAGGGCGATGCATCTCGACTTGAATCTCAACTGAAGGCAAGCTGTGGGAGGATATCAGCAAAGGCATTGACTGGTGACTGGTTGGGCCCAACTGGTCTCAAAGCTGAACAGTTGCGAGGCTCAACAGCGGAAATGAACCAGCCTGTGACCTGATCGCTTGTGCTTTCTTTCAGGCACAGCAAATCAGCAGGTGAACCGTTCAGGGTTCAATCATGAGGAACCGATCAGGGTTCAACAACAATGGAACTGATCAGGGATCAAGAACCGTACACGGTTCAACGCAGTGGCTGCCCTACCGTAGACGGCACGTTGAACGAGACACCGTCTAGAGACACACTCCTGCAATCCTGCCTCTGACTTGTCTTTGTTGACTCGTAAAGCTACTTGCAGCGGTAAAGATCTTCAGATATCTTCAGCCACATAGGCGGTTAACGGATTTTCGGCGACATGCCAGGTTTGTGGCTTTGCCTAGAAGCCATGCGGAATCAAAAGACTCTGTGGGATTTTGGCTTAGCCCCATGCCACTCCGGAAAAGATCACACTCGCACTTGCAAGGGGTGAGGAGTCCAGCTGCCACGATGGACCCAGGAACTCCTCATGAGGTGCACCCTCCCCCCCTTCGTTCACAGGCACGTTTTCGCGCCCTGTCACTGGCAGTCTTCGTTGGCTGAGGTGCCAGTGACGGGCCCTCAGCCCCCTGTTTTCTAGTGCATCCCTTCGTAACAGGGTTCCCCACACACACACACACACAAACGCACGCACACTTCGGAATCGGAGGGACGGAGAATGTTCTGATCACTAGTTGGCGTACAGTGGCACATGTGTCATCCCCGCATAGCAACGTAAGTTTGCCAATTCGTGACCGAGCGAGATACCTGACGAGCATTCCAAGCAATTTACATCAAAAAACAATTAGAAGCAAATCGCCAAAAGCCCCACTGCAGCTTGGAAACAATCCTCTTTGAAGACCAGGCTCACTGCGCCGTTCGTCATCGCGAGCTTGTTGGCCGGAAGTGCTGTCAAATTGTTTCTGCAGCTGTTGCCTCAATTCTGGCGAGGTGCCTTTTACGAATTGAACTGCCCAAGCTAGGAATCCTGCTGTTGCCACTGCAGTTGCTTCTCCTTCTCTTCCAATTCCCTCTGCAGGTCCAATTGCTCCTGCATCGCGGATTTTGTCACGGCTCCAAAGGTAGTTGGACTTATGCTACCACTGTCTACTGTAATCTACTCCTCACCTGGCCTCTGAAGCTGCAACAGCATTTACTCCCTATTGACTCTGCAGTATCAGGACGAGCCAACGAGCAAGGAGACTCCTTCAGCTCTCGTTCAGACCTCACGGCTGGTTGCGGTTTGCTGAACTTCACCCCATGATGCTAACTCGCACAATTAACAGACTGGCGATTTAGCAGAGATGCCACTCGGATGGTCTTGCAGAGTCGTGCCAACCTTTAGCGAAGTTTGAACATGCACAATGCTTCCTGCACAATCTGCACCGCTTCAGGCTCCATGCCATTCTTCAGTCGCGATGACCTCATCATCGACTGGTCAATGCACATGCTGACAGCTGCAATGGTTCGCAGCCGTCCGGCCTTTGATCAGGGCAGTCAGCTGCCGTGCGTGCCATCTCCTTTGCTGTGTTTTCCCTCTTGCCTCGATGGCTTCAGACTATTTCGAGCCTAGGTCCCAGCCTGCACAGCGGTCTCCGGGGAGGCATCAAAGCCTCGCCCGGTTTCGTCCGAACAAATCTTGCAGGCTTTGTGCCAGGCCCGTAGCAGCCTGCAACTGTTCCGCGGACTGGTGACCTCAAAACAGCTGAAGCAAGGCGATCTTTCGTTGCTGTTGCACCGGTTCCTGAAAAGGATGCGTGCGGCAAGTGCGGAGTAACAGCGTGGGGCCTCTTCAGATTTCGTTTTGGCTGGTGAGCCTCCTAGACACTAGTTTCCCTCCTGTCATGTAGCAGAGCTATCGAACATAATTCTCACCCTCAGACAGGATTGAAATGTTTGAAGCTTGATCACCTTTGACGGAAACCGCTTCGGCACGACCAGGTTGATGAGAGAAAGACTCGGTGCAGCGATGTGGTGCGTCGAAAAGATGCCGAGCTTCCAACTCCAGGTTTGCCGTCTGCCATCCTGTCTCCGCATGCCGCATGCTGTAAACAGCACGTACACATACATTCAGGCTCATCGAAACCCTGACATCAACCCTGCGTCATGTATCTTCAAGTCTTTACAATACTTCCAACGGAAGCAGCCGACCTGCTTGGGTTGTTCGCTGTCCTGCGATCACCTCGCATGGCATGCAATATTGATAAAACACTCGCTAGCAATGAGCCTTACCTGCCTCCGGCAGAGCAGGACCGTCCCTGGGCCGCACCTGAAAGGAACACACGTTCACCAGAAGCGTTCTGGAAGGAAGAGCTTTGTTCTGCCTGCCTCAATAATGGCAGGATTCTTGGGCGATTCTGCGGTGTCCAAAAAGACCTGTGGCGAAGCTACAATCACAACATGGTGACTTCGCATGTTTTGCCTGGTAAAACGAGTTGCTGCCAGCTCAGCATCCGAAGCCAGTTCAATCAACTTGTCCTCGCACCTGAACGGTCCGTCTTCAAGGATGAACCATCGTCTGCGGCTATGACAGCACAATTCAGACAAGCAGCAACTCTCCAAGAAGTTTGAGTGGGACTTGGTCAAGATGATGTTGTACAGCTTCTAACTCTTCCTTTCAGGTTCCAAACTTCAGGTCAGTGAACGAGCTACTCAGTGTAGAACGTCATGCGCCCATCCCTGCAGTCACTGTGGACTGAGGCACTCCCCTAAATCGGTATTGCCCGGAACACACTCATTTGCTTTCCAAAACAAATCAGTGGGAGCAGCATTCCCATGTTAGTGGGGCACTTGAGAGTTAGCATTAGGGAAGCTGCACTCTGACTCCCTGTAACGCGCATAACCTTGAGACTTGAAACAAGGTGCTTGGATGCAGAGAATCAATCACACGGCGATACACAGTGCAATGCCGCGCCACGCTTCACAGCCATGCAAAGCCGGAATTACACACCGTTTGCATGTTGCTCATGCACCAAGTTACGATTCGCACGACGGTGGAATCACGCAACACACCCGGATGCTTCTGCAATCAAGCAGCAAATGCTAATTACTGTCGATGGATCAGCGAAAGCAGATTATTGACCCGGCCACTTGGAATCCTACACGACCTGCAGAACGTCGGCCACTGGTTACTTCGTCAAGAACCTTTTCGAAGCGTTTCATAGCGTTTCCGGGTTCCACGTCAACTCTACAGCACGAAGCCTCGGACTACTTGAACTTCCGATACAAAACTGCACGCAAGATGTTTCGGCTTGGTGCGAGCCGTGCCATCTTCACATCCGCCGTGGACCCGCCCCCCCTCGACACGCACGGAGCTTGTCCTAGATGTTTGGATATCTTGGAAGCTGTAGAAAAGCTTCCACTCGCTCGGGCCCTGGGCATCAGCAAGGCATTCAAAATGAGAAACCACTTGCGAGTAGCCTCCTTGTGCATTTCGGAAGTGGCTCCTGACTGCGTAGAGGCATAAAGCAGGATGGTCCCAGGTCTGAACCTGTTTTTCTAGTGGTGCGAAGCGTCATTTTGCCCAATGTGTTCGCATGAAAAGCACGTCTGGCATCCACGGCGCGGCGAAGGCCCCGCTTGCCCAGGGCCTTTGCAGGCATCGGGAAAACTTGGGCAGCCTCCCAGATCCTCGAAGCAATTCTTTTTCGAGGCTCGCTGCATGCATGGACTGGACTGCCTTTGCGGCCGCAAGTTGCCAGTTCCAACTCGATGTGGCCCACCTTGCGCTGGCAGCTCTCGCCACTGTATGCCAAACTGCGAGGTCATCGTGTTTCTTCGCCGAGGGGGTCACGTTGCGGGTTTGGGGTTCCGAGTTCCAGTTCCGTGTTCCCGGTTCCGGTTCCGATCCCGACCTTCCAACTTCCCGGACTTTCCCGGTTGCAGGGGGGGTGGGCGCCGGGATCCGGGTGATGCAAGCAAGCTGCTTCACCGGCCAGTCACCGCTGAAAAGGAAAAAGGAAGAACAAAGCAGAAAGGTCCCAGATCTGAACTGGTTCCGGTGCTGAGAAAGTTAGCATCCACCGCAAAGGCCCTGCTCAGCTCGGCCACGATGGTGTAGTAGATGCGAAATTTTGGGAGTGTTCGTTGCTGTCGTGGCTCGGCAAATACTTGGCCGCCAGTTCGGCCGCAAGAAAGGAACCAGGTGCAGTTCGATGCAGTTCGCTGAGTTTCCTTTCTTGTGGTGCAAGATGAACCCTCTTCTCACTCCCCTGGATCGGCCATGCAACTGCTTGTCTGGTTCTCAGCAGGAATTCGACGTCGCCGGCCCATCTACAGAACCTTCCGCTTCGGGATGCTTCGGGGCCGCATGAGTCAAAGTCACAGGTGCTACAAGTAGGGGATTGCATGCCGCCCTGTTCTTTAAGGTTCTCCAACTTCGTCCGGCCATTGTCGAACTCGTTATTTTTGCTGCGGGCCCTTGTTTGGCTGCTTTCTCTATGCTTGCGACTCACTCAGGGCCCAAGTGCTCAGAGGCCGCCTCCTCGGAAAGCTCCTGCAGCAAGTGACACTTGCGAAATCGCAGCGACAAGCCGGCGTCCGTTTGAAGCAAGGACTGCCATTTCCTTCTCCATCTTCTCGGGCTTGTCTTTGCCGGGCGCGTTGTCCATGCAGTTGCTGAATCTCGCAAGCGAGCCATTGGTTCATGAGCACGAACATTGTGTGCCAAAGTAGCCCTCACCAAATCAACGTCATCCACGATCGTCTCCGTCACGAACATGCTCTCCGCAGCCGAAAAGAGCGAAGGGCTGGAAGCAAAAAAAGGTTCTATAACAAAAACACGCGAGGTCGACAATCTTGAGTCAAAATTTTCGAGGCCTGTTGACGTACGTCAGAAACATAATAAATCGAAGTTGCAAGCTCCTAGCAAGTCGACCTCACCAATGTTCCCCGGGGTGGCAAAAAAGAGATAAAGAGTGTTAAAAGATGCTAAGAGTGTCCCGCCCGAATCTCTGACCAGTCACACACATGCTGACGACCCACAAACCCCTGATACATCGTGATAGGCAACAGAAAAAAGAGCTCACCAAACCTCTGCCGCCATCTTGCAGCGTTTTACACTTCCGAGAGCAGGATGCTTGGGTAGCTGCGCCGTCCAGGGTTTGTGCCACCTAAACTAGTGCAACCCGACCCTTTCAACCAAAATGTCTCCACAGCGTCGCCTTGTTGAAACCTCCGATTTCTTGCAGAACAGCGCAGGCTAGGCCAGATATCGATGCCGGCGCATTGGCCAGACCTGGTCTGCACGAGTCACCCCAATATCATATACAAAGCCCAAAGCAGGACCGAGGGACCGACGGAATGGCTCTGGAGAGGCAAAACCAGGAAGGTTCAGTCTCACTAGGATGCTTGGCCTACCAGAAACAAGATGAACCAGCGCCGACAAGCTACAGCTGCCAAAGCTGACAAGAATTGGGTTCCGGCATAGCCACACCACTGCAGCGGCAGCAGGGTCCAGCCAACCCATCATGCTTTGCAGTGGAAGAAATGCAGCCAGACTTGCCACAAGCAACTCGAACGCAAGCACCCGTGCTGGCAGCTTGAAGCTTTGGTCAGGCTAAGGTGCAGGATTATCCGGAGTGAAGCACTAGCTGCTGCTGGCCACTCCTAGTCATCTGACCTTCATGGATCAACATGCCGTTTGCTGGATGGTATCCTGACAAGTTGTAGAGTTTGTCCGTGCGTTTCTGGCGCCATGGCGTGCACGAACCAGTCGATGAGTCAATGTCTGCGTCACAGGCAGGAAGAGATCTGTGATGTCGAAGACCACCATATCGGCAGGAGCAACTACTTCTAGCAACCAGCACTGATGCAGAAGCCAGTCACAACAAATAATCTAATAGGTCTTGCATTCGGCAAACCTCAAGGAGCAGCTTCCGGCTTGCCATGTAAGTAAGGTTTGCCTATTACAGACACGCAGCGAGAGAAAGACCAAGTGATCAAACTTGAAGCTCCTGACACAACAGGTGCTGAATTACCAAAAACTATATCAAACTTAGCTCTCCACGGCGCTGTCACTCCTACACACCTCAAAGTGGCGTCCTGCTGGTCATGCCCCTTTGACAGGTCCACACTCAGGCTTCCGAAACGAGGCTGACAGCGGATCATATGAGGCACAACAGCAGACATCAGCATGCGCTGTGACCACACACTTTCCGCACATGTCATGCTTTGGCAAAGACACTATTACAGCCTTCTGTCTTCCGACATCTGGGGGGCATTGACGTATCGCTCGCACGGACTTGCTCAAAATCGGATCAGCTCTATCGAAAATCACGGCTGTTCCGTCCCGATTTGTCATTGGCTGGAGCAAATCCTTCGAGAAGTTGAGACCGTGCATCATGCTTCCACAAACCCGATACATCCGAGCCAGTCCTATGAACGGCCGAGTGAGGCACAACATACAAGCATGGCAACGACTTCATCGGTATGAGCACATGATGACACGGAGTGCGCCCTGCGTGTCCAGGGTCGAGATATGCACAACAAAAAGGGATGATCCTGACTTCGTTCAATCAGAACCGACTCAGTGCGCAACATCACCTTGGTTGCTCCGTGATGCGACGCAGCGTACAAAACTTGATACATTGATGAGGACAGGTGCACCTGGCATGGAGTTTTGTCTGCCTGTTCTCACGATAACACTGCAGCGTCGGACCTTGCAAAATCCGCTATGCACACACGTGCGGGCCTTCCATGTGCTCATGGCCATACGAGTGTTTTGCCATCCACGATCACAGCAACCAACCATTGCACTCGGATGCTTTGACTAAGCCCCAGGACGTGTGCGGCAGTGAAACAGGGAAAAGAACACTCCTGCAGGTGAGCTGATGCAAAAAGGATCCATCATGCGCTTCCATGCTCTACGCATTAGAAGCGTAGTGTAACTGATTAGATCGAACGGAGGATCGAGCAGACAAGTATCCACTGTATCCACCACTATGACGCTTAAGGTCCTCGAGAGCATGAACTGCGTCCCCGGCCCGCTGCGGCTCTGACCTGGAAGAAGATGTCTGCAAATGGAGAACATCATTTGGAATTTGACGGCACTTTGAGCAGCCAGCCGTCTGCTGACGTCACGTGCGTTATCATCGGAGCCTTGTCCGCGGTCGATGCGGCTTTTCGTGGAACACCTTTTCGCAGGCACTCTGCCTCCACCACATGCTGCAGCGAGAAACCACGCCTCAGCTGGGGCTTAGCACAACCGTCCAGCTGAAAGCGATGATTCAGAGATCTGGGGAGGCTGGGCTATGCACATGCCGAAGTACGACAGGACCGATTGCATGCAGTGCGAAGTGGCCTCGCATGGCATGAGATCAGCTGCAAGCCAGTTGTGGTTGTTTAGAAACTTCAATACTTTCTGCATGCCTAGCTCAGCTTAGGGACGAGGCCTTGAATCGCTTTGTGCACGTTTGCTGGTCAAGCCTTTGGCTGGAGCGATGCGGTCTCTGGGGATGACTGGCCCCAAGACTTGGCGCCAGGCGGAAGGCCGCCAAAGTATTTGCAGAGTCGGAAGAGGCCTTGATGATCGCGGTCCTGCGATAGGGCCGACAGGGCAAGGCCAAGCCCAGATCCCGCTAAGGCCCTCTCCTCTCGGATGGTCTGCTCGAGACAATCCACATAAATCGAAGTGTCATCTTTGTGCTGCCAAACGGACACCTCAGCGCTGAGGAAAGCCCGATCGTGCGCTTTGGCGTTTTCCTTGTGGCACGCTGTGGCACATATTCGGTGATGCGTGGTACCGGCAACTGCTGGTTTCCTTCCAGCCCGTAGAAGCTGGCCTGCGATGGTGATGTTCCGGCACATACGGTCCTAATCTCCAAAAAGCAGATCCTGTCCTCTGCCCGGATGGCATCTATGAACCTGACAGGCGCAGGATCACTCTGCTTACATCTCGTCTCACTTGGGGCGGGGCTCCAGGTCACAGGCTTTCTCCCCCAGAAGCCAGAAGCCCTGCACAATCAACAGAGCACGTGCTCTGAGCTTCCGACAGCGACACGTCCACGTGTTTGCGCTGCTTCAGTGCCTATGCGTATACCTATACTTGCAAGCCAAGGTTCCGTGCGCAAGTATTCCAGAACATATCTGAACAGAAAACCCGATCGGTCCACGAAGTAGTGACCTGCCAGCAAGTCTTCGAGATGACGTAAACTTGCACTCAGAACCGGCAATGCAGATAGTCGGCCTTCGCTGTCAACAGTTGCACCAAAGCCCTTGGCATCAAGCAAAGTCTACAAGTGGCTATTCTCTTCCCACAGCGTGCTTGCACTCCGAGATCTGCACGCCCTCGACTGTGTGTCGCAACATGGAATCAAAAAAAGGTGCCTGCATCAACGTGTGTATCACACAAGATAGCCATGGCTGCACCAATCCGGCATGCTCCAGGCAGCACAAAATCGTGCCGGAGGCAAGGTCAGACGGTCATGCATGCAACACCGCAATCCACACAGGTCCACCCAAGATATAAGTCTGGTGGAGCTGCTAGTGCAGTCTGCAAGGCACCCAAGAAGGAGAATCAAACTGTCAAGACATAAACTATCTTTTCAAAGGCGGACTCTCAGTCAAATTGGCTTGCCCAAAGGCTCAACTCTGAGCAGAATGCAGCGGCTGCTGATTTGCACGCCTTCCGCAAGGTACTTGGCGTTGTCCTGCTTCCGAACCAAATCTCTGCTGGTGCACTTGCGTAAGCACTGAACACTGCTGGGCAACAAAACTACTGGTACAATTGCAGACGGCGACACCTGAAGAGAGTGCCTCCCACCTCAGCTCTACTCTACCCAGTCTGCTCACCAGCTCCTAGTTTCTCAAGACTTCCCTGGGTCTCGACGTTGAGGACTAGGGCCGGTCCGAAGAGCTCACTTCTGCCGGCCTTGCACTTACACACTTGCAGTACACACATGTGGAGCATCACCAGGGACGGAGTTCAGACCCAAGGCAGGAACCCCATTCTCCTGCAAACGTTGTGTGCTTCCCGGACTTCGCGAAACCTTGAACACGGCCAATCAAAAGATGATGCATAATAGGAAGCTCGGTGGAAATTCAGTGCCCCACGATCCGTCCGAAGTCTGGAAACGTCCGACCTGCTCCCAGTTGAACATGTTACAGTTATTCCCAATGTCCTTCAGTAGCGCGTGCTCAAGCAGTCACGCACAGCATCATGACAAGCACGCGTTTGGTGACATGGGGCCACAACGTGTATCGATCTTGTGAAACCCATACACATGCCATTCGAGGAATATCGAGGATGTCCGTGTATGTCGGTTGGTACGGTCGATGCCCGTGCCGATTCCGCAGTTGTTCGCCTGACGCCGGTCGACTGAATCGCAACCCGGCAGTCAACATTTGCAAGCATTCTTCAGCGCGTCACTTGCAGCACAATGCCTGCTTTGAACTTACACGCACTTGTTCGCATTGGTTCCATCTCGGCAGAAGACTGGGTGGACAACGCAAAGCGACCTCTCTAGTTGCGGCCCCAAGATACTGTAGGCGATTGTAGGCAGTTCAGCTGAGGCATCCGAAACATGCGCAGAAAGCAGCACGATGCAGCACGTTGGCCATCGGCAGAACATTCACGTCCCAATGCCTGGCCTCCAGTCTCTTGCCATGCTGCAATGCACTCTGTCAAGTCTTTGTGCTCGTCATAGCTTGCCGGCCACAGCCTAAAGTGCCAACACAATGCGCACCAAGGCTCGACTGCTCCAGACAAGACTTCAAGAGGCACTGCACTCGCCCTCGGTTCTCTCCTTTCTTCGTTTGCAAGACTCTGCCCTGGGGCCGCCCCACCGCCACAGAGGTTGGGCTCTGGCTTCGTGCAATCGACACGAGACAACTTATGTTCCTCGAACTTCGGAGTCGGCTCCGCTGGCTCTGCTTCAAGTTTCGATCAAGCGAGGGAAAGAGCGTAGCGTTTTGGCTGCAACTCTGGTACCTCTTCAGTGTCTCAAGATTATGCAAGCATCTGAGCGATGGTCAATATTGTTGTCCTCAAAGGCGGTCGCTAGACAAGGGGCATCGTTTTGGGGCTTCTCCTATCGTGTTACAGGACTTTAAGAACATATCACGCTGCATGAGCGACTCATGTTCAACTGAATGTAGTACTGGCTGGGCACCCTTCGAAACACACTGAGCTGTCCAATTGTGTCACATGCGCTACTCGCGCTGCCGTGTAGGGGGACATCTCACAAAAAGCCTCCTGATCGAATTTGGGGGGAAGCCTCAGGTTATCATCTAGGCATCGCTTCGGACCATGAGCAACTTGCCCCGAAATAGACGTAAAGCAAAACCTGTAATAGTGGTGGTGGTAGTAGTAGTAGGAGGAGCAGCAGTAGCAGTAGCAGTAGCAGTAGCAGGAGCAGGAGCAGCAGCAGCAGCAGCAGCAGCAGCAGCAGTAAGCAGAAGTAGAAGTATACAGTTTTGTCAGCGGTTGTGGTTTCCGTCGTGGCCATCATTCATGGTCACAGAAAGAGGTGTGTGTGCCTGTGAAATCGAGCGTCTACAAGCAAAAAAGCTGGTGCTTATGTGTTACGATTCCACCGACGTGTGTCTTTCGCGGGTGCTTCTCAAATTGAGTGTCTACCCGGGGAATGGTTGGTTTGGTTCTGCTGTGATGTCCCTGATGTGTGTCTTGAGTTTGTGCTTGTGAAATCGAGCGTAAACATCGGGAATAGCTGGTTCTGACGTATTATGTGTTCCGTGCGCTTAGACATCTGAATTCCAACAAAACGTGACGTGACTAAACCCCCCTCTGTAACAAGGCTATGCGCTTGGGACATCCGGAGATCTAATTAGACAGTAGAGAGGCGTAGATTAGATTGCGTGTCTGGCTTTGCGTCATGCTTCCGTCGAGATCCCAGACTCCTGTGGCTGCAAGGCTCCTCCTCTGCTTTGATTCGAAATTCGAGCCCCTGTGACGACGATGAACCTGTAAACACAAGCAGTCTTTTCTCCATCCCACCGGGGCCTGAGGTAAACCGATCCAAACGATGAAGGAAGCCGTAAGACTTGGAAGCATCAGCACAGACCTGAGCGACTCGAGCATCTCTCATAGATGGCCGAGACCCCATCACGGAGTGAAGGCTAGAGCGGCCCGAACCCGTCGCTCACCGGTCCGCCATTCCCTAACACTAAGTGATGGACCTGATCTTTTCAGAGCTGAGGGCTGACGGTCTTAACACGGTAGCATCGGGAGCATCTGCCTTCACAGATGGTTGGGTGAGGCCGTCAGTTCGGTACAATATTGGGAAATTACACCACGGCGCATCACCTCTTCATATTTAAACCAACGGGGCAGGGCCCTGTTGAAAACCCATGGAGCTGCGGCTCTGTGTCCCGGACGGGATGCCTGCGGCCAAGGTTCTTCGCCACCTGCGCAGGTGTTGGAGGCTTCGAGCCATCCAAGAGTCGTCGTGCTCCGACTCTGAAATTCTGCAGGTTTGGTCAGACGGCGGCTTCGAGCACTCTCTGCTGGTCTTTGCAGCTGCCGCAGGCTTGGCTTGCGAGCAGCGAGGCAGGAAAGTGAACGTAAAATCTCAGATGCACACTAGCCAGACGTTGTGAAGCCAATGGCACAAGCAGCCAGTTGCTAATTTTTGCTGGCAACTTCAACAAGCAAAGCTCTCGTGCGTGCCACTGGCTTCACTTGCAGTTCGGCACATGGGGCCTCCTGTTGCGCAGCAGTGTGCTTGACGTCAATCCCCAGTGGGCCCAAGCGCAAGCTGAAATCTTTGAGACATCGAAGTAACTTCAACAGATCTGGGCCCGGGCAACTCTGCAAATCAGACGGAGAAGTGGATGTGGCCTGCGACAGCTCAACAAACATAGATGTCTTACGTCATCTCACAGCTCGGGACCGGATGGCAAAGTCTCGTTCCTTTTTCTGGCAGGCCCCGCGAGATTCTCGAATCCTCCTTCCTGCAAGCCCCAACAAGGTGCCCCGATAATTACCCCACAAACCATCACCGTTTCCGGCAGTTGTGGAACTCCTACCCCGAATTAGTTCTGGCCAGAGCTCAGCAGCTCAGGTCAGGAGGTCTGCGGCACCTGAATTCTCAATGAATAATTACCCCGTGCTAGAAGTACCTGTGATGTCTTTGCAAAGTTGGGGCTGGGACTGCATCTGCCGGGCACCCCTAGCATGGGAGTTCTGATACCCAAATCTTCTCACATTCTAGTCGTGATACTGGCAACAGCCATGGCAAGAGAAGTGGCAGCTATGATGGCAAATGACGATGCTGTACCCTGGGAGTAGGATGGCCAAGCACACGCAAAGCGGCTGCCAAACCCTGTCCAAAAAAAACCATGGGTGCAGGGTGCCGCTTCAGAGTCTCAAAGTGCCGACGAAGCGGCGCCCTGCTGAAGCTGCCTTCTCCGGGCCTCACGATGTGTGCAGAGAACACATGTCCCGGGATTGAGGCATATGTCTATCTTGACTAAGCCATAAGCCCGTAGCTGCCAGCCCGCTAATCAAAGCCTCCCTGTATAAAGTAATTCTTAGTCATCCTGGTGGGGCCAGACGTGAGGGCCTCAAACAAAGCAGGTCAGATCATGTTGAGACCTGCTACAGCCTGTTAATGCGTATGCTGACCTTCACAGGTGTCAGCCCCAAAACCGCGTCGAATCCGCCTTGCGCTGGTGGCAAATCGTCTACTGAATAAGTCTTTGTGAAGGTCGACATAAGTCACCACAAAGTCAATTGAAGGTAGATATCAGGGTCCGGGTATTGCTCTGGCTGCTACGAGTATGGTTTTTGGCAGAGAGGAGCAAGAAGGCACGAGGGTCAAAACAAGGCAGATACGAAGGGCCTTCGAAGGCCAAGAAGCAGGAGGACATAAAACCAAACAAGCCCGAAAGAAAGTCACATAAAGGTTTCCATGATTTCTGCAAAGATGACCAAGAACAACAAAAAGCCAAAGGTGAAGAGAGAATCAAAATGTGGCCAGAAACAGGTCAAAGTAAGGTCAGCATAAGGCCGAAATAAGGATAAGGGTTTTTGGTGTGGTTCTTAGAGGAAAGGACCATGTTTCCCAGGACAAGGCTGACAAACCCCCACCACTCCTTCCCAATACATCCCCAACGCACACAAGAACCAAATACACTCACGACCCCACAGGCGAAGCACAACCTCCAGGGCCGGTCTAGACAAACAAAAACCCCTGTCCACAGGAACAAGCCTCAATAGGAAGTATTCCTTTCCCATTACTGTCTTCGGGAAAATTTGAGACCCGTTGCCTAAATGCCCAAAACCCACAGAGCCTTGGAAACCCTGTCGACCCCTTTCGCAGAGAAGCCCGTTCAAGCCTTTGAAATACCCTGAAGCCCGTTTCCGAACCCTTACTGAGCCCTAAACCCGTAAACCCTATAGACCCCCTGATCTCCCTTTTTTCAGCACGGGCTTTGGGTGTGTGCCGTCCAGCTGGAATCTCAAGGTCTTCACAAGACACCATAGACCCTAAACTCCTAAACCCCTAAACCCCAAACCCCTTTTTTGTTGAACCCAGACTCTGCTGATCAGCTGCAAACCCCTAAACCCTAAACCCGAAGTTCCTTTGCTGACCGAGTCTCCAAGGCTCGCTCGCGGTTCGCCTGGCGAAACGTTCCAAGTGCCATGCTATGGCTGTTTGGTCATATCTGCTGAGCCTATGTAATGTATATTACTATATACTATATTCCATTATATTCTATTATGTTATATTACAATATATTACATTACTATATTACCCACTATATGTATATGTTTATGCCTTACATGTTCTTGCAGATACGAGAACACGAGTGGCTCGGAGGCTTTGAAGCCAATACTAGACCAAGAGCCTACAAGCAAAGAAACTACGAAATGTATCTTCGGGATTCCTGCCTTAATACGCTCCTTCATCGCCTCGTCCGGCGAAACGGTCCTGTCTTGCACCTGCGCTTCTACGGCATCCGAGGCTCATAATGACAGCTTCCTCATACACTGCCCTTGCAGACGGCAACGGCCACAGCTACCCGGCAGTGCACGTGACTCGGGCCTTTTGTGTCACTGTGCTCCGAATTTTCGACGTCTCCCACTGCGCAAAATACGTATCCAGCATGGGTCGACATGCCAACTCACCTACAAGTGAAAATTGGACAGGCTGTGTCAGGTACTCCGGGCCAGACTGACTGACAGGCTGGCATAGGCTGGCGTCAAAGGGCCTCCAACATTAGAAGCCTACAGTAGGGAAGGCACTGGCAAAGTCTTCCACCTGGCCCTTCAACTCCAGGAGCTTTCCGGGCGGACTCTCTGCAAGCACGCGCTTGAAGTCCACCAGCTTGGGACCACTCTGCTTCTGCACCTCAGCTGCAACATCTACTGCTCCGCCAATGAACTCACCGATCTTGACGAAATCATCCTCCATCAATCCTCTTGAAGTCATGGCAGGAGCACCCACACGAAGGCCGTTGGGGTTCATGGCGCTCTTGTCTCCTGGGATGGTGTTCTTGTTCAAGACAATGGAGGCCATCTCACAGACTGCCTCAGCCTTTGAACCGTTGACACCCTTGGACCGCAAGTCAATCAACACCAAGTGGTTGTCAGTGCCACCGGAAACCAAGTTGAAGTTGCATCGCTGAAGGGACTCGCCCAAAGCTTTAGAGTTCTTCATGACTTGCTGGATGTAGGTCTTGAACTCAGGCTCGCTAGCCTGCTTCAGTGCCACGGCCAGTGATGTGATGCTCTGGTTGTGAGGGCCACCCTGGAGTCCAGGAAAGACGGCCGCGTTGATCCGATCCTCTAGGTCATACATGATCGGGTTTCCTTTCTTGTCCACTCCACGCTGGCCCTTCCGGTAGAAGATCATAGCTCCGCGGGGTCCACGCAGCGACTTGTGAGTGGTCGTGGTGACGACATCAGCATACTCGAAAGGAGATGGAATGGCAGCTCCGGCCACAAGGCCAGAAATGTGAGCCATGTCTGCCAAGAGGTATGCTCCAACCTTGTCTGCAATCTGGCGCATGCGACCATAATCAATCAGCCTCGAGTAGGCGCTGGTTCCCGCAATGAGGATCTTGGGACGGATTCGCATGGCGAACTTTTCGCACTCCTCGTAGTCAATGAGCCCTGTCTCCTCGTTCAGGCGGTAGGGAATGGACTCGAAGTACTTTGACACCATGGAGATCTTCTTTGTGTCTGTCTGATATCCATGGGACAGGTGGCCACCATGTGGCAAGTCCAAGCCCATGATGCGGTCGTGCACATCGCAGAGAGCTGTGAACACCTGGAAGTTGGCAGGTGAGCCACTAAGCGATTGAACGTTCACGCCCCACTCTTTGGCATCCAGGCGGAAGCTTGAAAGGGCCCTCTGTTGGCAAAGCCTCTCTGCCTTGTCGATGAACTCGTTTCCGCCATAGTACCTGGCTCCTGGGTAGCCCTCGGAGTACTTGTTGACCATGACCGAGCCAACAGCTTCCAACACTGGAAGCGGAGCAAAGTTCTCGGATGCGATCAAATTGACGCACCTCCTCTGCCGGTCCTTTTCGGACTCGATGATGCCGTGAACCTCTGGGTCCATCTCCTTCAGGGGCGAGTTGAGGCGCATGGCTTCGACGGTGATGCTGCGGCCTGCTGGGATCAGGCGGGCTGCCTGCCTCCAGCATGAGCGAACAGCACCTACGGCGTGCATGGCGGCAGAGCAGAAGAGGCGACGACTTCCTGACCTTGCCTTGAGGCTGAGAAACACTCCTGCGAATGCACACTTCGACTTGAGCTTCTCTTGACGCTGACTGATTAGATTCCCATGTCCTGACTCCAGCCTTGAGACGCAGAAAGATTCGCCCCACCCACCCCAGAGCTCCGCTGCCTGGGTCGACGAAGCCTCCGTCATCTCATTCATGTCTCGGGCCTCGTCTTCACATATGTTTACGCACTCACTTCTCGTCTTCTTCCCTGGGACTCTTGGAGCCGCGCTAGGCCGCAGCCCCGACAGAAGCTCGTGTCATGCGCATCATAAACTTTACCACCTCGGCTGTGCTCAACTTCATTTCAGCTCTGATTCATGGCCGCAATTGGCCGCATGTATTTTCACGGACATTGCGGAGAGCCCTCAGTTTGAATCATGAACTGTTGAAGTAGTTGGGTCGCAGTTGGGACAGGCTGGCGCCACGTGGACGGCGGCTTCTGCTTCCTGACATATTCAGGAGGCTCGGCCGCCCCTCTTTCTGATACCGTTCTGGCCTGGTTGTTGTCGTCCTCGGTTGGCTTCGTCTCTGTGACTTTCAAGCTGTCCTTGAAACAGGGCGTACTCGGCACTACGCCACTTGCTGTGCCAGAAGTGAGCTGCGCCGCCTGTGCGGACAACTGCACCACGGGTCTGTCCACAGGCTTCTGCTCGACCTCTCAGAATTCAGACTGCACTGGTCAAAACATAGAAGTATGCGAATTGGGATGACGGATGGCGCCTCTCCCTTCATCGGCACATCCTCGGCGACTGGTGGAGGAGCCTGAATCCACGGTGCCAGAATCTCAGAAGCCGGAATCCTTTTTGTTCGGACAAGCCCAGGCCTCACACTTCTCCGGAGTGATCGGCTCCTCCGTCCTCTGGCTTTTGGGTGGAGTTGACGGACCTTAAAGTCTTAAAGCTTAACAGAGAGAGGGCTTGAAGAGGAGTGTCGATGATGTGTTTTCCTTCGCTGGGTGCGAGGCCACCAGCACCAGTCTCCAGAATGCGGCACTTGGCCTTGTTGACGAGCCCGTCGCACTCACGCAGAGTGTTCCTGCCCCAATCTTGGCGCATGCAAATCTTCCGTTGCCACGGTGTGCTGCATCGTCTTGACCTCCTCGACTTCCTACATAAATACAGCATATCTGAAAGCTCCCCGAACACCTACTTAGAAAAGGTGGCCTTTGCATGCAATAGCTTCAATAATAGCACTGCAGCAGTGAGGCTCGGCAGACAAGTTGCAAGAGGATCTGCGCATCCACGTTGAGAGCAGCCTCCGACACACAAAATCTGAACAGACTTCCCGAAGTATTCTTTTTTTAAAGTCTTGTCACAGGCGAAGGCACGATCTCGGGACGTAGGCGAAGATTGCGAAGCGCTGTCGACAATCCAACTTCTTCCGCCAGTTTGAGTACCTCCGTCAGCTGCACATGCACGGTTCACACGATTTCATGAAGCTGCCGGTGCCCAGACGCAAAAGTGAGGTTCTGAGTGTTTGCCAAGCCCCCCAGCACTCGCGCAAACAAATTTCAGTATTTGGGCTAACGCGCAGCATTTTCTTTCTGAATTTTTCTGCAGCCTACAGTAAGGGCCATCACTTGGCAAGCGCGTGCTTCGACCGTGGCAGCGAACAACGTGGTGGGCCTTGCCTGTCCTCTGTTGTTCCTCCTTCTGACCCTGATTCGCCTCGCAATTCATGTTGTGGCCTGTACTCAAGAGTTTCTGTCGCTGCCAACCAGCCATCTCGCCCAGGTCTGCTTTCTCGGCCTGCTAAGCCACTAAACCCACGCTGTATGACACAGCCCTTCCGTTGGAGCCTTCCGCAACCGGGGATGTATTGGAGTCATGTTTCTTTCTCCTAACGTTGGAATGCTTTGGAGGAAGAGATCCGAACTCTCTCGGAACACACGCTCTCTGGTTTAGCTTCGCGGCACTCTCTAGTGCATGTACTGCCCACATACGCATCCGCAGTTGTAGAGTTTGGGCACAGCCTCTGGGCTCACTTCTGGAAGCGACGAAAGCTTGTCTGCTGCCTTGGGTGACTTCTCCTGGAGCCGCGGCCATCGACCATGCTTGTGTTTCGATTTCAACCCTTTACAGGCAAGCCTGCTACGCAAGGCTCGAAGCACAATCTCTACAGTGGCTATCAGGCAGGGCCTTTTGGGATCAAGCAGTTTGGGTGGTCTCGTGGAGGAGCAGAGGTTGCCCTATGATGACCACTGAAACAGAGAACAGCCCTGCTGTATCCCCAGCCTGTGTGCTCCCGGTTCCCTACAAGGCTTGGCAAGAGATGCGTTGATTCTTGTCGCGGCTCTTCAGAGACCCCTCTAGTCCCTATACAGCTATATAGTAAGACAAACCCCAGAATACTGAACGGTATTTGTTCAGGCCCCTCTATTGAAACCTCGACAGTCGCAGCAAGTTTTCGATGCGGTCCTCCTCGGTGGCCGCTGGTGGCTTTGCTTTGGCTTTCGCCTGTCGTGCCTTGGCCTTGGCGACTGCTTTGGCCTTCGCTTTCGCTTTAGCTTTGGCTTTAGCCTTTGCTTTCGCTTTAGCCAGCATGGACTTCTTCCTCAGCTCTGAGCAGCCGCATCGGAGTACCGGTACCGTCTGTACACAGGTTTCGAAATGAGGCCCGGCGTCGGAGCAGCTCCCTTTGCAGCATCTTCGCCCTGAACCAATGTCGACAGATTTGGGCATGCCATGGCAATCTGTGAGGCAGATGATCTCAAATATCTCATTGACAACAGTTGACAACACAGCTGGTCCACTGTACTTTCCAGCCGGCACATCATCTACGGCGGACGGCCCTGTCCACACTGAACGTAAGGAACGAGAACATAGATGGCTGTTGCAATGCCGAAGCCGCGAAAGGCACAAATTCCGTGGCTCCTTCTCCTTCCGTTGACGCTTGCGGGCTGGCTCAGCAGGCTCCTCATTGTCGGGCCTGCCAGCAGCGAAAAGATAGAGGAACAGAGCAAGATGACGGCTTCATTGATGTCCAATCAACCCGATAACCAATACTTGCGATGCCGATACAATGCATGGGGCTATGTTGCAGCAGGAACCTCTGCTTCTGTGACCCACAGAGCTAGAGGAACTCAGCTCGTCGCTGGTTCTTCTTCGTTCCCTTTCTCGCCTTTCCCTTTGGGCTCTTTGCCTCTACCTGAAATGGACAGGCCCAGGGCACAGAACGCCTGGCCCAGACCTGGGGCCTCCACACTCAACCTCAACCAGAGTCTGCCGGCCTTTGTGTCTTCTTCCACTGCATCTTCAGGCTTCTCAGCTGGGTCCTGGACTCTCGACGCAATGTCCATGATGAGGTGATCCAAACTCTCAAGAAACCTGGTCAGAAGGGCTTCCCATCATCCCCAACAAACTCCGCGGCCCTTCAATTCAACCCGAATATGATGGTCCTTGCTGGGTTTCTTGACTTTTCGGCTCTTCTTGGAAGTCTCCACAGTCTCACCCTGAGCTGCCGGTTCATCCACGTGATGCCTACGCGCATGCACACGTGCGCACGTACATACATTCATAACGGCTTACGTGCCCGCGCACATACATACGCACGCACATGCATGTACATCTGTGTACATGCATGCCTGCCTTTACGTATGGAGAGGCGCATGATTCTGCCACACCCACACACATGTGTGTCCACATGTCTACCACTCGATCGGCCATACATACATACATATACATATACATATACATGTACATATACGGATGTCAATATAGAATATCTTTGTATTAATTGGTCTGTTCAATTTGCACTTTTCACTTTTGGTTAGGGGCATATACATTTATATATAAAGTAGAACTGCCTGTAAACATAGAGATATACAAATATCTACGAGTATATATGTATGCATGTTCATACTAGAATCTAGAACATGTCAGCATGTGAAATCTCTGTAAACGTACCTTGTCTTCGGAGCCATCAGAAGTCCTCGCAGACTTTTTCTGGGACTGCCTGCAGACTGCATTGTCCGCCACAAATACGGAAACGGCAAAGGCAAAACCAGTGCGAAACCGATGAAGCCAAGGAACTTGGGTTGCTTCACTGCCCGAGCCGGCGGATTGTTGACATACCTCAGGGTTTAGGTTTCAGGGCTTCTGCTAAGTGAGTTGTTACTTATTGCGCTTGGCACGAACGGCACAGAATCCTGCGACTTGCCAAAGGCGGTCCCAGGCACGCTTCAGCCTCTTCGCGTGTGGCGAAGCTGCGGTACATGACCTTAGGGTGGGCAGCTGCATGGGGCTGCAATACGACAGGAGCATCTGCAAGAAACATGATTGCAGCAAGGCGCCCCCTTGACGCCATGTACATGCGGCTTGCACTCCTCCCAGCTCGTGCAAATTCGCTTTATGGGAGCAGCCACCTGAAGCATCAAGTGTGTACACACACACACACTGAGGCTCATCAGCTTATCTTCAGCTCGAGAGGCGCCGTAGAACTTGACGGTGATGCCGGCTCGTTCTTTCAACGAGCGGCTTCCCGGCACCTCGACCAGCTGCATGTCCTTGCTTTGGTCCGGCTCCACTCTTTAGTCCATGTCGGGGTTAGTGAGATGGGATCGTGCAATGGCTACGCCTACGACAGGTAGCTCTGTCGCACTGACTCGCAAACATGCGGCGGCTCCGGTCCAACACCCACCCCGCCCCTTCACTGCATATCCGTCCTCGTTGTACTCGTAAGCCGGTCCAGTGCTTTCGGCTTGGGCTTCTCTCTCCTTGGTACAGATCAAGTTAGCTGCAGCTTGCGGCTACCACTCTCTGCCTGAACCGGCTTGCCACTGCAGGAACCGTCCGGCAGACACTTGATGACATCTACCGACACTGGCACGGCCAAGTCTCCCTTAGCCACTTCCCCAACCGTTCCATGGGACTTGGCTCCCTTGGCCAAAGAACATGCCACGGCCACGAAGCACTGCAAGCCACGTTTGTCCAATAGATGAGCTTTTGCTTGCGTCAAACACAACAACGAGGGGACCGTGTAGAAGCAACTGAAGCCAAGCTGCTCCCCTGGCGTACCCGGCTCTTGGTCCTGTACAGCCTTGATAACCCACTGGCAATACCTGGAATCTGCAGGTTTTAACCTTGATCTCTATAGAGTCTTCCATCGTCCACACATTATCATTATGAAAACTCAATGCACGTGTACATGCAAAGGCAACTTGAGTGGAGCGGACGAAGAGCGGACGAAAGCTAGGGGGAGTGAAATGGCAGCTGCGTGTTGCAAATGCGCGCAGGTGTTGGTAAGCGATGTGATCGATGCAGTGCTCCTTGTATGCTGTGTTGCGAGCTGACCGATAACACATAACCTAAGCCTGCGCTGAACGACGCGTGGCAAAGCTCGGTCCACAACGCAAGAAACTATAACAACTCTGAATCGTGAGTTTACCCTCGAATGTAACTCTTTATTTCGTGCATTCATTCTGTTGTCAGTCTTTATTGGGTTCGTCCAGTATTTGTTTTCTCGTTTTGTCCACCGAGCTTGAAGGTGAAAGCCCGCTTTTTCTCTCTCTGTTTCTCTCCTCATTCCTGTCTTATTTCTTTAGGTATGGAATCCGTCTGTCCTCGTGTCTTTCGTCATGTCGTTATTCCCTTTGTTTCTTTCTTTGTTTGTTTATTTGCTTCTTATTTACTTACTTATTTCCCTGCTTATATCGTTCTTTCGTTGGTTCTTTCTTTAATTATTTCATGATGTCTGTGCTGCTTGATTTCTCTGGTTCTATCTTTTTGTCTTTCGTTCGTTCGCGATTTCGGGCTTGATTTATTTCTTTCGTTCGTAAGTGTTTTCTTTCTTTCGGTCTCTCTCCCCCGTTCACTCGTCCTTTCTTTCTTTCTGTCGTTATTTCTTTCTTGCGTGCGCTCCTGTTCATGCGCATCCATTCTGTGCAAGGGCTTCTTTGGAACTGACTTGGAAAATGCACAAGAAGGCCCTGTCGCCTGTCGCTGAGATCGGTAGCTGAGCATGTTGAACACTACAAGAACGGTTTAGGGTTTTTGTCCCACCCGCTGGCAGTTTAGGGTCTGGGGTCGGTGCAATAAGCTTCGCAAGAATGAAGATGGTCATGATGTGGCGTGAATAGCAACAGCGTGCTACCCAGAATGGCAATGACGACCACAAGCAAGAAGCAGAATGACACCTTCAGTGACCAGGAACGAAACCATTACAGCTTTCCTGTTACTGTTGGTGGTAAACAACCAAGAAAGACGAAGAAAGAGACTGTTGCCGCCGACTCCTCTCGATGGCCACCACATGCATTCAGGACCAATCTCCGATTGCATGTTGAATAGAGCTTGCGCACTTGGGTTCCTTCTCCCATAGCTCGATGTAGGTCATCTCAGCATGTCTGCGCAGGATGCGCAGGTCCGGGCTGGGCAGAGCTCTGATCGCGATGCTAAACAATGGGATGCACCGCAGCCGCCGTGCCTGCCAAAACCGACGCCGTCAGCACCAGTAGCACTAGGGGCCTGCATTGGTGCCTGCATTCGGTCAGTCTTGTCACGGCTGCAGTACCATGAACATGTTACTCCGGTGCCCTTGCCGTTGGTGTTGCTTCCAGGGTTCGGATTAGTCTTCAGACATGACCCTAGCGTTGTCCACATTGCCGTGGCTTTGGGCTGTGCCACGCAATACACTCTCCATGGTGTTTTCTCCATGGTGGTGTGGAGTCTGCAAGTCCGACAGCTACGTCGCTCATGTTGGTCCAGTATCTCTGAGCTGGCTAACCCTCGCACGAGACTAGTACGAGCTAAAGCACGGTAACGATGGAAACATGTGTTCACAGACCTCCAAAAACCGTTTTCGCGAAGACCGACTCGAGTTGACTGCAAGATGAAGAAAGAAACTACGACTAGTAGCAGTAGTACGGGCTCCAATCCTTCAGCCAGCACAACCATTGCAAGATTGATGCATCGCCGGAAATCAATGATTATAACCTCACTCCTGAACAACTAGCTGGGAGGACTCTCCCCGGCAAGCTTCCCATGTCGAGTCAGATCTGGGTTTGGCTGACATGGCAATGCAGCCGTGGAACATCGTCTGAGCATGGATATGAGCCTCATGTCAAGTCATCATCACCACCACCATGGCCACCGCCACCATCACCACCATTCCCACAACAACATCAGGCCTGCATGTTGGCGAGGGCTTGATGGGACCAAGCTTTTGGGCCAAATGGCTACTATGACATCTTTGCAAGCCTGTGATGATTCGTCTGAGAACAGCTGCACAGGATCGTTGCTGCGTTTTGCAACATCGGCGCGCCTTTCAACTTTCAAGCTTGAGTGGCTCATCGTCCTCCCGTTGCTGAAACACGGTGATGTTACTCCTCCGCGGGCGCATGTCGAAAGCACAATTCGCATTCAAGGGCAAACTCACTTCGAACAACAGGGGCGCACATGGCCGGGCAAAAAACAAACTGGCGCTGGAAAATCAAAACAAGTCTTGCTGAAGGCCAAGGCACGTGTCGCGTTGCCGATGAATGTTGACCTTAGCAATCACTCTACGCAACGAGGATAGTTGGAACAGCATCACAGGCGGGTCAACAGTGATGCAAAAGAATCGGTCATGTTAGCTTCGTGTACGTCTGGCGGAGCAAGCACTGCGGTAGGGCAGGCACGAAGCAGTTCATTGCATACTTGATGCCATTTGTGACAGGCTTGGCCTGGCGAACAGGGAGGCTCTGAAGGGTCACGACATTCATCTTTCGTGCTCAGGTCACACTTCTCACGCTGATCGAGTGTGCAGGTTCGGGAATTGGGGGCCTAATGGGTCCCCTGCATTTCGGCATGTGAGCAATAGAGGATGGATACATGCATTATGTTGCGATGAACTAAGTGTGGATGCCCGCATGGACATCATCAGGCATAGCCATTTTGCTGGATGGAAGCTAGGCTTCGATGTGTGTTCAGAGTTCAAGGTCAAAAACACAAGACACCGCTGCTTTCGGTTCTGACAACGCAGTCGAGCCGCGGTCGAGAGTCAGCTCTCGCAGTAAGCTCGTAATGTAGGACTCTAGCCGACTCTAGCCAAGAGTGCTAGATGAGCTTCTGGAGTAGATTGCCAAAGATGCATGTAAACGCATGTGCTCCTCTATTAATACCTTTCGAATATATACAACTAAAGCTTGAGCTTTGTCCCATGATCTCACGAAGCCCTGCCTCATGCTTCACCCGCATATCGCCTTCGCCAGACGGAAGACGATTTGGCCACATCCTTGCAGTAGCAGTAGTAGCAGTAGCAGCAGCAGCAGCAGCAGCAGTAGTTAGTAGTAGTAGTAGTCGTCGTCGTCGTCGTGGTGGTGGTGGTGGTGGTGGTGGTGGTGGTGCCAGTCTTGGTACTGGTGGCAGTGGTGGTGGCAGTGGTAGTGGCAGTGGTAGTAGTAGTGGCAGTGGTAGTAGTGGTAGTAGTAGGCATGGTAGTAGCAGCAGTTGTAGTAGGGAGTCGCGTGTTCTCAAGCTCAATGAACAAACTCCAAGCGACAGTGCTGTCAAAGCTGCCGGGCGCACCTTAGCTTGGAGTGGCGAGCTGCTTCATGCAGTTGTCGCTGCATCCCCGCATGTACTTGTCCAATGCAGCTCGCCTGGAAGCCAAGGTGGGGGAACCTGCTCTCCCCACCACCACCTGGCTCGAGGCCTCAAGCTGTCGGCAAGTGAGGGGTAAGATCTCCAGGACATGGACGTGCGGTTCGTGCGGATCTCTTCGCTCACTCACAATCGCAAGCCGCCAATGTTTTCTATGGTGGTGGCATTCGGCGTTGTCCGCCAAAGCTCTTGATCTAAAGACCTTTTAAAGCACCCTTGCAAGTGGCAGGGACGGGTCTTGAAAATCGAGATGGGCATCTTCTCCGAATAACATGTCGAAAGCTTGCCCAATCCTGCCAAGTCTGCTCAGGCAACGATTGAACTACAGGTGAGACTGGGTTTATTAACGGCTTGCGCCACGAGTCTACGATTGGAAGTGCTCCTTCGGACCCATCCACTTTCGTAAGAAAACAGCCGGTGCAAGTTGTTGGAAGCTCCATGCCGTACTCCGCAGACTTGCACTGCTGTGTCTTTTGTCCCGTCATCCAACAACCTGAAGCAGCATGGAAAATGATAACATCATCACGCCGTCTCCCGGCTCCAGAATTTACCAACGCTCTCCGAGCGAGTGGCATTGGATCTCGCACCAGAATTCTCGAAGGTGCGATGGGAGCATGCGACGTCAGAAGCTGTACGACTGCGCTGTGCATCACACGCTCTTGTTTCGACACCACTCCGGCTCGTCAGCATCGAGATCGCCATCTTCGACCTCTATGAACGTGTTGTGCACACTGATCAAACTGCTGAGAGAAAGCGCCGGCGGATTATCCATCGCATCGTCCGCGACTTCAGCAAAGCGCGGGCTGCGGCCCTGCACAGCGCAGCATCTGAGGCTGGTTCACTGAATTTGGGGGTAGTAGCACGGGACCCTGCTTTGGCTTGTTGAGAAGGCCCGTGCAAGTCCCAAACATGATCATCTACAGTCTATGGTGCAGCATGGCATGATGCAAAGACATCATGTCATGGTCTAGAAAGAGACCTGTATCTGCAGAGTGTCTCATCTCTGAAATACCCTGCATTTTGAAGCAATGGACTTGTTTGATGCCAGCACACATGACGATTGCAAGTGTATGAAAGGAAAGTAAAGTACTTGGTATCACTGAAAGATGACTTGAACAGCACGCGCCGCAAATGCATCAGGTACGACTTCAAAAGGCATGTGGCCCCGTGAATTTGATAACTTCACAGTCCCTTACGCCGAAGGCTCCTTGGGACGCGTAACTCAAGACTCCAAAACCCCTAAGCCCAAAATCCAAATTGGATCCTAACCCTGTGAACCCTTGACCCGGACAACGCCACCCCCGAATCCCCAAACCCTCACAAAGATGCAACTTCAAGAACATATTGAAGTCACGAGGATACTTGGGGTGCTAGTTTTGAACTCAGTGCTTCATTCTAACCCCCTTCCTTGGCAGGCCGCAGACCCTTCAGTCCTCTGTTCCTGTGGTTGCTGCAGCATACCGGGGAGTTCTACACGAACCGTAAGCTCTGAGAGGGAAAGGAACTCAACTCACACGTTCGAGCAGACACTCGCTCTTGCAATCGTAAGGATTCGGATGCTGGGATGGTTCGTAAAACTAAATTCTGCGAGACAAACCGCGAGCTTCGATGCAGGTTAAGTCATGAGTTGTATAGGTCTCAAAACAAACTTTGCGAGAGAGAGAGAGAGACAGGGAAAGCTTCGACACTGCTAGCTGTACACCTGGGCGATCCAGAGTGTCTCTCTCATGTGTATGTATAAATATATAGATCTAAATATAAATAAGAATATATATATATATAGATATAAATAGATAAACATAGCCATAAACATAAATAAATATATATATATATATGAACATACGTACGGTATATGTGCCCTATCTGCACTATCTGTACGGTAGTCCTGGCCCTTTTAAACTCCTCTTGGTGCGCATTCCGGGCCAAGTGCTCTCCGGTAGATTGAATAAGAGAGGGAAGCGATTCTTCCTCTTGTGCCTTCGGGCGTCAGGGGCGGTGAAGGCCCCTCGGCCACTAGGGCCCCCAGGAAGCGATTCTCTTCTTCTTCCTTCGGGCGTAAAGGGCGGGTCAGGCCCCCTGGCCACATGGGGCCCCCCACTGCTTGTAGGGCTATCTGGGGGTTGTGGAAGCGATTCTCTCTCTCTCTCTCTCTGCCGTTGCCTCCAGAGGGTCTAGCAGCTAGCAGCGCCAGGCAACGCGTGAGGCTCAGACCCTTAGGCCCCTCTCGGAACAGTAAGCGATTAGGAAGCTTTATTTGTAACCTCTGACCGGGCCTCTGAAATTGTCGGCGCATGCTTGGAGCTGTTCAACTTCCGGTACGCCGTCTCAGGGGCTCGCAGAGGGCTTGGGGCTACACTAGAAGTGGTAGCATAAGCCTAAGAAAGATGTACAACTCAGGGGTAATCTCAGGGATTTTCGGGATTTGATGCTTTAAGGTTTGGGCGTTAATTGGGCTTGAGGGGTCTTTCCGACCGAAGAGCATCCAGGACAAGGAAATGTGCCGATTCAGGCCTGGGACCATTCTGGAGGCGGTTTGGGTTCAGGGTTCTACATAGGGTCACAGCTCCCTCCACAAGGCCAGCATCTGTCCAGTCCTTGTGCACCTTCCAAGCCGCATCGAATCGTGAGGCCAGTGAATTCCACTGGCTTCTCTGGACAACGGCCTGGTAGGGGACCAGGAGTGCTCCATCCATGGTGTTGTACACCTGCACCTGTCAACTGGAAGCAGAAGAACTCTCTGTCAGAATGTTGATATGAGATGTCACTCTCAAGAGACCCTCTCGCGGCACAACCATTGCAGTCCAGCCCAGCGTGGCCTCTGAGCAACCGATAGAGATGAGGAACATCTGCAAGAAGCTGGGGAAGTCAAACTCTCCCACCGGGCGGTACCA